ATAACATAGTCACTCGTGGGATGGGAAAATTTCAATAAATGTCAATACCCTATGAAATTTGTCATCAAGATGTCATTGGAAAATATTGATGGTATTGGTCCACTTTTTTTGTAATATATATAAATATAGCGCCCGTTTTTTGCTTATGTTCGTTTTATCCACACTTTACGATTATACTACTAAACACACTCGATTTCAATTTACTATCGTATACGTCACCTTAATTCTGTTGCCAAATCCAGTGAATTATAATTGACGTATACGCTATGGAATTGACATTTGAGATCAAGTGGGTTTCGTAAATCTAAACGTATGTCATGGACAGTCTGGATGTTGAGTGGGTAGGTCTTTTGTGTAATATTATTAAAATAACATAATAGTTCCGCCCAGAACCTAAAACAATCTATTTATTTTACAATTTTTGCAACTTTTTACTCGATAACCGTTCCCTAACCCACAAAACTGTAAAACATTGAACCAAATTTAAGAGAACACAAAACAAAATGGCGTTCTCTTTGTAAACATTTTACTCGAAAAAATTGTCGAGTAAAAAGGGCTGTTATGTTGATTTTGAAGTATTGCCACCTAATTTTGACATATTTACTAGAATTGCGTTCCAGAACTTTTCAAATGATTTTTTTACCCTCCACCATAGTATGGAGGGTATATTAGTTTTGTTTTTCCGTTTGTAACGCATCGAAATATTCATTTCCGACCCTATAAAGTGTATATATTCTTGATCAGCGTAAAATTCTATGACGATTTATGCATGTCCGTCTGTCCGTCTGTTGTAATCACTCTAGCGTCTAAACGAATTGAGATAGATCGCCGAAATTTTGCATAGAGTCGTCTTTTGTCTGCAGGCAGGTCAAGTTCGAAGATGGGATATATCGGTCCACGTTTAGGCATAGCTCCCATATAAGGGTACCCCCCAATTTTCGGTATTTTGAGGTTCTTGATCTCGTTTTACAACCGAATTCGCTGAAATTTGGTACTTTGAGTTCTTATTGGGTAGCAAATGTCCCCACCAAAAATTTTAAATATAGGTTAATTTTTTCGGATAGCCCCCATATAAGGGTACCCCCAATTTTCGGTATTTTGGGGATCTTTGGGGCATCTTTCAACCGAATTCGCTGAAATTTGGTAGATTTGGTTTTTATTTAGTACCAAATATCTACGCAAAAAATTATAAACATAGGTCCACTTTTTCTGGTAGCCCCCATATAAGGGTACCCCCAAATTTTCGGTATTTTGAAGTTCTTGAGTGCGTTTTTCCACCGAATTCTCTGAAATTTGTTACTTTGAGTTCTTAATGGGTAGCAAATGTTCCCACCAAAAATTATAAATATAGGTTCATTTTTCCGGATATCCCCCATATAAGGGTACCCCCAATTTTCGGTATTTTGGGGATCTTGAGCGCGTTTTTCATCCGAATTCGCTGAATTTTGGTACATTTGGTTCTTATTTAGTACCAAATATCTACACAAAAAATTATAAACATAGGTCCACTTTTTCTGATAGCCATATAAGGGTACACCCAATTTTCGGTATTTTGGGGATCTTGAGCGCGTTTTTCAACCGAATTCGCTGAAATTTGGTACATTGGGTTCTTATTTGGTGCCAAATATCTAAACTAAAAATTATAAACATCGGCCCACTTTTTCTGATAGCCCCCATATAAGGGTACCCCCAATTTTCGGTATTTTGGGGTTTTTGAGCACGGTTTTCAACCGAATTCGCTGTAATTTGGTATTTTGTAGTCGTATATGGTAAAAAATCTCCCTACCAAAAAATATTAATATTCACCCCCTTTCAAAGGTAGTCCCCATATAACCCCCTTTTTTATTTTAAAATAGTTAGCTTATTTATTCCGTGTATTGGGGTTATCCCATATAGCTGTATTCCACCATAGTAGGGGGGATATTCGGTAGACGAAATTTTCATTTCATACCCCTCATAGTATGGAATTCTAAAACAATTTAGTCGATATAGCCATATGTTGTAATAATTTTTCTCTCGGAGGATATCGACATAAAATCTAAAACGTGAGGTTTGAGAATGAACTGTATCGACCCGCATTTAGGACCAGGTCCTATATAAAACATCCTACCTATTTAATATTTAGCGTGAATGACGTTATTGGGATTCAAAACTAAAATATTAGCTTGGAACTTGAGCTACATCGGCCCTTAATTAGGTCTAACCCCTTATATAATGAAAACACCAAGTAGTTGCTAATTCCTACATAATGTTGTCAATATTGGTCTCGCTTTAGTATGCCTCATATATAATATTGCCCTCTAAATTGGAGTTTTTTCAGCATTTTATACACATGTTTCACCGTACCATGCGTTAATAATAGGTTCGTTCGTTTACTTTCCCAGTTATATTTACTCAGTAAGAATTTGCAGAGAGTAAATACGAATTTTTCCTTCTCAAGAGAGAAAACTGCAAAAAGTAAACGAACAACATCCAGTAAAAAGATTGTTTCGACACAGCTGATTAAAACAACAAACAAATTGTTTGGATTTGGAACCTAAAAAATCGTTCGCCAATTACTCTTGTATTACCTTATTTTTAAATACTTGCGTTTTCTTCATCCATTTTGATATTTAATGATACAAAATCAAAATAAAATTCACAAAACAATCAATTTTCTTGAGAACAATTTTTTGTTTGTTTACAAAACATAACAAAACAGCTGATTAAATATCAGCTGATGGTACTAGAAAATTCTTACTGAGTAAATTTTCCTTGTAAGAATTTGCAAATACTCAGTAACACAACTGTCAAATCTGCTCTCTCAATTCACTCTCTTTTACTGGACTTTTGGGTAAACGAACAACATTTTGTAATAATTTGTACAAATTCGTACAAATTATTGAGTAAACGAACGAACCTAATATATGTCAACATGTTAGGGTTTTAAGATTTTAGGAAAACCCCCATTGAAATTGCTGAATTTTCTATTTGGTTTACAACAATCGATTGGAAGAATTGTAGTTATATGTATTTTCCCTATGTTTTCATTTCAAAAATTTGTCAATATTTCTATGGTGGAGGGTATCCAAAGTTCGGCCCGGCCGAACTTAACGCTTTTTCACTTGTTTACTCTGAGAGCGATTTTGAAATGTTTCCCTTTTACTAGCTTTACTATTAAAAAAGTACTGGAACAGACCAAATGTTTTTTGAATTAATAAACAAAGATAGACTATTTTAAGACACAAAACAAATAACTCATTTTTAATGTTCTTTTGCACGGAGCTTCGACGGACTTGTACAGACTCGCTTCCAACATCAACCAAAGAAAAAAGGGTAAGGAATCTAGAAATACCACGCCGTGTGTGACACGTATTTTTATTCTCTGTAGTAGAGTTCCACGTGGTGTTGGAAGCTTTATTACATATATGCCTATGGTGGGGGGTATCGGAAGTTCAGCCCGACTTGTCGTACTTAAAGTGCCTTTAGAAGATACTTACGATGTAAAATACACTTTTATTAAAATATGTTTAATGTGAACACAGTCATTATATCAATTACCAAACATGTTTAATCTAAAAGTTTTGAGATATGTGATTTTTGTGAAATATTAACTAGATTTCTTTTGAAAATGTATATAACCATTAACATAAAAATTCATTCTTAGAAGAATAAAAACTAAGTGATTTTTAAATAGAAATATTTATGAGGTGGTTTCTTGCTTTAACAAAAATCCCCCAAATGTAACCAATTCCCATAAAGAGTGCAACAATGAAACGTGCATTTCATTTCACAATTTTAAGTTTGTTAAATCTTTACTGTTGTTGGGGAGTTTTTACAAGCCATAAACGATTTACTTACTTGCAAAAAATAAAAAATGCAAATGTTCCATGACACCAGAAATTTCAAAGTTCCATACAATAACAAAAAAATGATTTCATTCTTTCGAAAGCATTTCATATCATCTGATGTTAACCGTCTTTCTTCACTTTGTCGCAGAAAGAGGACGGAGGCGGCGTATAAACCCAGACCTAATGACTCGTTTAATGGTGTTTACATTTATTTTTGGACTCCAACCAATATAAAATGCAAAATCAATATTTACAAATGTATGCCGACCCAAAATGACTTATCATAAATGTCAATAATTAAAAAAAAGAACCAACAAAAACCAATAAAATTATTTTTACAAGTACTTGTGACATGCAAAAAGAACAAATTAATTATTCATTAAAAAATAATAATACAAAAATAATACTTTACACAAATAATACTTTCATACACACTTAATTATGTTAATATGTTTTACAGAATGTGACAGAATTTAATACAAGGTCACAAACTGGTTTGCAGAGCATTAAGAATGAGGCTAAAAAGCTAAATTCCCTGTGGCAATATGTAAGGAATATTGAAAGAGAGTATAACACACAGCCATTATTACTTATTGACTCTATAATATTTAGTCCTGATTTATATTAGGCAAGTTTACTTGCGGCAATTATTATCGTTCCCTTTTGAACTTGCTCCATGCGTCTATACAAGGCAATTCGGTTTCGAAAATATTTCTTTTTTCATTTGATGTCAATAGTTTTAATACAAGGTCACAAACTGGTTTGCAGAGCATTAAGAATGAGGCTAAAAAGCTAAATTCCCTGTGGCAATATGTAAGGAATATTGAAAGAGAGTATAACACACAGCCATTATTACTTATTGACTCTATAATATTTAGTCCTGATTTATATTAGGCAAGTTTACTTGCGGCAATTATTATCGTTCCCTTTTGAACTTGCTCCATGCGTCTATACAAGGCAATTCGGTTTCGAAAATATTTCTTTTTTCATTTGATGTCAATAGTTTTTTCACATTTAAATAAATATAAAATGTCAACAAATACGAAATACACAAAACGAATTGCCAGAAAATTGTCGATACAAGCAATTTTTTCCATTTCTATTCCCTTTGCCCCTCTCTCCTACAGACAAAGAGTTGCCGCAAGTAAACTCGCCTAATATAAATTGGGACTTAGCAATATACAGGGTGAGATGAAAAAACTGCAACCATCTTCAGATTGCTGTCATTTCTAAGACACTCGTCCGACAGCTGTTAAATTGTTCCATGTAGCATAGCATTTTGGTGAGAATTTTCCACAAAAAAGTTATTCGTGATGGAATTCAAGCGTGATAGTCTGATTTCTTTATATTTGGCTGGAAAACCACAAGTGGCTGTTGTTAGAGCAATCCAGGGGACTAACCCCCCCCCCCCCCCCATTCTCGGTGTCAAAAATGTAATTTAGCTTTTCAAAACTACACTAATTCAAGAATGTTCCTACAGAATTTCAAGTGAAAATCTCAAAAACTCTTGAAGGTATAGCCGATTTATTGTGTCAGCAAGAGTGATTCTCAAACTTTAAACGCATTTTTCTCGAAGCAGTGTTTTTACGAATGGCGGACACGATAACTCAAAAACTAATAATCCAATCGGTTCCAAATTTTTACACGTTTCTCTGGGAGTGTGTAGCTCTCGTATGAACAAGGTGAAGAACTTCCTTATTTTTTTAACTTAGTTTGTGGTCAAAAATAGGCGAATTTAAAAAAAAAATTTTTTCGAAGGTCCAAAATTTTTTTTAATTTTTGATCCAAGTCAATAATCCGGATTCCGATGTTCCAAAAAGGAGTTATCATGCCCGCCATCAAAAATAAGGACTTTTCTTTAGTCACTAAAAACAACAACATAACAGCAACAACCAAATTATATATGTGTAAAGTTACAAACCTTAACATGCATTGGTGTTCATTTACCAGCCCAATGAAAATCTTGAAAATTTAAAATCGAGAATGGGAGAGGTCCCCTTAAATGTGAATAAATCTTTTGTGTCTCGTACCATCCTTCATTACAGTGATACTGGCAGCGTAGCCCGACTTCAAGAAAGTGAAAGAAAACAGCAACATCAGCAGAAATGGTTCAAAAAGTAAAGAAGCGATTTGATCGAAACCCGCGTCGCAGTGGCTGGAACATGATCGTGTTTACTTGCCAAAGAGGTTAGCTGAAAATGTGAACCTTCGGTTGGCCACCAGAATTCAAGCGCCGGCCATGGTGATGGCGGGGACCGCCATAACAGCCGATGGTCGCTCTCCACTCATATTAATTAACCGTGGCATCACCCTGTTTTCCATTTTTACTAGAGAATTGTTTCCTTACGCCGAAAATCAGCAAACATTTCAGAACAATTTTAGAGAGTCAAAACAAACACTTTCTTCAGGGCATTAACTATGCACCGAAGCTGTTAAAACATGGGTGTCCATTGAAAAATTTCTGAAAATATAATTTTTCACCTTCCGGACTAAAAGCTTCAAAATACAAAAAATAGGACGGAACCGTTTTGTGTGTATGTTATTCAATCAGTCAAGACCTTGACAATACTGTCTCTTTCAGTGATGCTTATTCCTTTTCCATTGGTGCACCACAGAACGTTGATGCCGCACGCGAGCACATCCAATTTGAAAGACCATTTTCCGCTATGTTGTCCTCTACTTGATCCTTCCATTGGATTCGTGGCCTTCCCCTTCTGCGTGAATCACCACTTGGCTCACTTTTATAAGCCTTTTGAGCTGGGGCATCTTCATCCATTCTCACAAGATGGCCTAGCCAACGTAGTCGCTGCAGGTCGAAATCGTTCACTACTTCGAAGCTGTAGTTTTCAAGTTTCACAGTTAGTCCGAGTCTACCGAGCGTTTTGCGCTTTGATACCATCAGTTTGGTCTTTTCTCCATATACTGCCAGTACCATTTTGGCAGACTCCTTTTAAATTCTTTCAATGGTGGCTGTTACCGCACGCAATGTTCGATCCAGTATGTTGATGTCGTCGGTGTGCTGTTTGGTGTACAGAGTGTCATTTCTGTTCACATTTGCATCTCGTATGACCTTCTCCAGCAGGATGTTGAACAGGTCACACGACAAAGTGTCACCTTGTTTGAGTCCTCGTTCGGTATTGAAGGGCTCCGAGAGGTCCATTCCTACTTTAACTGCTGACATTGCACCTGTTAAAGTTATCCTGCATAGCTGTATTAATTTTGCAGGAATGCCGAACGCAGACATGGCTTTAAACGCCTCTGAACGGATAGGGCTGTCGAATGCGGCTTTATAGTCAACGAATAGGTGGATTGTGTCGATGTGTTTTTCGTGCGTTTTTCCAGGATCTGGCGAAGAGTGAAAATCTGGTCAATGGTAGATTTGCCAAGCCTGAAGTCTGTAGTTGCGAATCAAATAAGAAGGAAGCGGCGTTTCTGCAGCGAGTTTCGGACAAAATGACTGTGTGCTTATGATTCTAAGATCATTGAGGCAACATTTTGGGCCGTTAATAACTACATTTCAGGACTCAGATCAGTTCCCATTTAAAGTGACCTGACACAAGTATCACCTCAATTTAATGGATAAAATTGGGGTTTTCGTCTTAGTCGAGGGAGTATCCCGAGAAGTAGAACGACGGTCTCCGAATAAGTGGGTGGAGATTTCCCATGACACAATAAATAGGTAGTCCATTTAGCGTAGCTGTCGATTCGATTAACTGTCAAAGTGTGTAGTTTCATGAATTAATATGAATTCGATGTACAATGTTGCCAACCACGTGAAATATTACTCGGAAAAAAATCGGTACCATGACAAAATAATAAGGTCGTCCGATAAGGCCAGATGATTTTATCCCAGCTGTAAATAGCTTTCAATTTTTACTTAAACGTGATTTTCTACCAAAATTGCCGATAATATTCGCTTCTTACATGTAGGTAGTCCATTTTGCGCAGCTGACGATTCGATTAACTGCCAAAGTGTGTAGTTTCTACTTAAATTCGAAATGCAGTGTTGCCAACCATGTGAAATATTACTAGAAAAAAATGTGACAGGTGGTCGGGACAAAAACAAAGGTTTTTGCTTTTATACATCACTTTATTATTGCATCATGATACCGGTCATGGCACAATAAATAGGTAGGTCATTTAACGCAGTTGATGTCTCGATTTACTGTCAAAGTGGGTAATTTCTTCTTGAATTCGATGAGTAGCGTTGCCAACCATGTGAAATATTATTAGAATAAAATTTGACAGATGACCGGGACCATGTCACAATAAATAGATAGTCCATTTAGCGCAGCTGATGACTCGATTAACTGTCAAAGTACCGGATTTTTTTTCAACCAGATATTGATATGCCCTTTTCTTTTCTAATAAAATTTACTACTTCCATATCCTTGCAGCTCTCAAACAACAACAATATTGACAGTAAAAATGGAAAGACTGAAAATACCGCCAGCGATGAAGATGAACGACCGAACTGGTCAAATGGTGTTGAATTTCTAATGTCCTGTATATCAATGTCTGTGGGTTTGGGTAATATTTGGCGTTTCCCATTTACAGCATATGAAAATGGAGGTGGAGCATTTTTAATTCCATATTTGGTGGTATTGTTTTTAATTGGTAAGAAGAATTGATTTTATGAAACAACTTAATTTGAAAATAATTGCGATTTTAACTTTCTTTTCCTCTATTTCAAAGGCAAACCGATGTACTATTTGGAAATGATTATGGGACAATTTACTAGTAAAGGTTCTGTGAAAATTTGGTCCATATGCCCATCATTTTTGGGTAAGAATACAAACACAGATAGAGAAATAAAAATTAAAAAATAATATGTATCTAAATATAAGAAGCAAAAACGTAGATTTTATCTATCATTACTATTTTTTATTCGTCGAAAGTTTGAAATAGAATTGGCGTAAATTGAATTGTTGTATGAAGAAAAAAGCAAAGCATACTTTAAGGCGTTAAACATTTAGCACATCTCCAGATAATTAAAATCACTTCCTCTTTTATTTACTTTGTAGGAGTTGGTTATGGTCAAGCTTTCGGAACAATATGTATCGTTACATATTATTCATCATTGATCGCATTGACTTTATACTATATGGTCGTATCGTGTCAAGCCGTTCTACCATGGACCTATTGCCGGGAAGGTTGGGAAAATTGTGTAGATTCTATGCCCAAAGAGGATAGCATAATACCAAACAACTCATCCTATAAATTGACCAGTAGTTCCGAGTTATATTTTACGTATGTTTTGAAAAGTTAAAACTTTGTCGATTTTTTCAATATTTATTTTTTTCTTTCCACAGTGAAATAGTAACCAAAGAAAAAAGTCAAATTGCCGATGGTATTGGTTGGCCAGATTTATATTTGACGGCGACACTATTTGTTTCCTGGATTGTTATATTCCTCGTTATACGCAAAGGTGTTAAAAGTTCCGGTAAGGCAGCATACTTTTTGGCGCTATTTCCATATGTCGTACTGGTGGCATTGCTAGCTCGTGCCGTTACATTGGAGGGTGCTGTCGATGGTATTCTGTTCTTTTTGGAACCGGATTGGGAGCAGCTGTTGAATTTAAAGGTAACGGAGATTGTAGGGTCAATGAATATATAAAAAAGTGAAAGTGGATATTTTTGAGAATTATCAGATGTATTCGCTTGGATTTTCTATTAAGACAAATTTTGAAAAGACTTTCGGAGATAAAAGTTTGGATTTTTAAAATAATGTTATCGGAAGGACTGACCGTGGAATATAATTGACTGTAAGAACCCTAGTGTGGATGTTTTAAATAATATATTTGAGACACCATCAGAACCCTAGACGTGGATTATTTAAAAAAATATTTGAAAGACTGTCAGAACAATAAGCGTGGATTATTTAAAAAAATATTTGAAAGACTGTCAGAATGCTAAGCGTGGATTTTTTAAAGAAAATATTTGAAAGACTGTCAGAACAATAAGCGTGGATTTTTTAAAGAAAGAATTTGAAAGGCTGTGTCCGTCTGTTGAAATCAGAGATCGCAGTATTTAAGATAGTGTTCTGAAAATTTGCAGAGACATTGCTGATACTCCTACGATGTTTGGTATTGCAAATGTCATATATCGGTCCACGTTTTGCTGTAACCCCCATATAACGGTACCTCCCAATATTTGATATTTTGGAGATTTTGATCACGTTTTTTCAACCGAACTGGCTGTTTTTCGGTATTTTGGGTTCTAATCGAGTAATACATATCCGTACCAAAATTTATTAATATTGACCCAAGTTTCAGAGTAGCCCATATAACGGTACCCCTTAATATCCGGTATTTTGGAGATTCCAGACACGTCTTTCAGCTGTTATTTGGTATTTGGGTTCTCATGGTATAGCACATCTCCGTAACAGAAATTATTAATATTGTCCTAAGTTTCAGGGTAGCCACCATATAACGGTACCCCCTAATATTAGGTATTTTGGGGATTTCGGACACGTTTTGCAACCGAATTGGCTGTAATTTGGTATTTTGGGTCCTCATTGGATAACACACATGACCCAAGAATCAGGGTAGCCACCATATCCACCATAAAATATAAATAATGATATCCTTTTTATTATAGCCCCATATATTATAGCCCCACCTTTACATATTTTGAGAATTTCAATCATATTTTTCGAACGTATTTTTTCGGGATGTGCAATGCCCTGTCATAAAATGAGTTTTCTACTAGGAGGCCTTCATTAATTTTAGATATTTTGATTGCCGTTCTCATGGTGGAGGATATAAAACATCGTTTGTATTTGTTTAAAAATGTTTTGAAAGACTATGTTTTTAAAGACTATCAAAAACAGACTATGTCAAATTTGGCGATTTATTTTTAATCATTTTCTGAAGCCCTTCAGAGCCATAATTGTGGTCTTAGGCGTTTATTTGATAAAAATATATTTTTCAGGGGCTATTGGAGTCGTTAATATTGGATTTTAAAGAATATCATTTCAAAGACTATCATCGACATAGTCGTGTATTTTTTGTATGATTATTAGGAAAACTGTCCAATGTATTAGCTTGGGATTAAAAATGTATTTTCGGAATGCCTTCGATATTCATAAACAATGATTTTTTTGGTTTTCTGGTGAAACCTAAGGTTTTTCGAGAAAGGTCTATCTTTTCTTCTTTGACATCCTAATAGAGAAAGTTTATTTTTCCAACATAAACATCCCTAGTTTTTTTTTATTTCAGGTTTGGAAGGAAGCTGTAGTCCAATGTTTCTTTTCCCTGGCAGTTGGTGTTGGACCGATTATAATGTTTTCATCCTATAATCGTTTCGATCACCCAATATATAGGTGAGTGTAAATTTGTTCTCTATAACTTCTGCCGATATTATAATTTATTTTGTTCCCATTTCAGAGATGCCATGATTGTAACCAGCTTGGATACAGTGACCAGCCTACTGGCTGGCATTACCATATTCGGCATCCTAGGCAATTTAGCACATAATCTAAATATTTCCGATATTAAAGAAGTTGTACAAAGTGGCACAGCTTTAGCGTTTATATCCTATCCAGATGCTATTGCTAAGTTTCAGGCGGTACCCCAGCTATTTGCTGTTCTATTCTTTTTTATGCTTTTCGTATTGGGCGTTGGGTCAATTGTGGCCCTACAGAGTACAATTGTGACCATAATATGCGATCAATTTAAATCATTTAAATATTGGGCTGTCGCCCTGATTACATCGATATGTGGATTTATATTGGGTTTGGTGTATGTGACACCGGTAAGTAGAGACAAATTTGTTGAGGAGTTTATAATTTATATTTGATGATTTTGAATAATCTATTTATTAGGGAGGCCAATGGATTTTGAATTTAGTTGATTTCTTTGGTGGAACTTATGTCATATTTGCCTTGGCAATTTTGGAAATTGTTGGTATTATTTGGATTTATGGTTAGTGTCAATTCTGTGGATTTTTTATAGTTTGTTTTAATATTCAGATGTTTAAATTCCTCACAGGCCTACAAAACTTCTGTGACGATGTCGAATTCATGACCCATCGAAAAGTTTCAATCTATTGGCGTTTATGTTGGTCTTTCCTGACACCGGTTATGATGTTGATCATATTTATCTATTCCATGGTAACCATTGAGCCGCTGACCTATAAGAAAATAGAATATCCCACGTCTGCCAATGGTAACTATCAATGACATGCATACATACATAAATACGACATAGTCAATAATAAAACATGTTCTTTGCAGCTGCTGGTTGGGCAATATTTGTAATTGGTGTCATACAATTCCCCCTTTGGGGATGGTGGTATATAAAGACCCATTACAAGGATGCATTTTGTAATGTAAGTAATGGAGAATTTCTTGCAAAATTTTCAAAATAATTAATTAATTTTTAATTATTGTTTTTTTTTAGACTTTCAAAACATCATTGAAATGTTCCGACGCATGGGGACCTAAAAATCCTGAAGTACGTGCCAAATGGTGGGCCTATAAGGAAGCACTTGCCGAAGAGCGACGAAAGAAACAGACGAGCAGTAAATTGGGTTTCTTTAAACAAAAAGTCTATAATCTAACAAGTTCGCCCAATTGAACATTTTGAATGAACATTTTTGAATTTGTTATATTGAGTATTATTAACTAAGTATTAGTGTGTGTATATATTTAACTAGAAATAAGTTAAAAATATTTTTGAATTTATATAAATAAAATGTTAATTATTTTATCTGAAAGATTCTCGGAATATTAGACGGCATTTAGATTAGAATTTTTTATCAGGTTAACCTACATCATGAGTATTTATTTGACATATATACAATGGAATTGACAATTTAAACCCTCTGTGTTAAAGAAATCCGGCACAATGTAAACGTACTATTATAAATACTAGTCCAATGTTTCTTTTCCCTGGCAGTTGGTGTAGGACCGATTATAATGTTTTCATCCTACAATCGTTTCGATCATCCAATATATAGGTGAGTGTAAATTTATTTTCTATAACCTCTGCCGATATTAAAATGTATTTTGTTTCCATTTCAGAGATGCCATGATAGTAACCAGCTTGGATACAGTGACCAGCCTACTGGCTGGTATTACCATATTCGGCATCCTAGGCAATTTAGCACATAATCTAAATATTTCCGATATTAAAGAAGTGGTACAAAGTGGCACAGCTTTAGCGTTTATATCCTATCCGGATGCTATTGCTAAATTTCAGGCGGTACCCCAGCTATTTGCTGTTCTATTCTTTTTCGTATTGGGCGTTGGGTCAATTGTGGCCCTACAGAGTACAATTGTGACCATAATATGCGATCAATTTAAATCATTTAAATATTGGGCTGTCGCCCTGATTACATCGATATGTGGATTTATATTGGGTTTGGTGTATGTGACACCGGTAAGCAGAGACAAATTTGTTGAGGAGTTTATAATTTATATTTGATGATTTTGAATAATCTATTTATTAGGGAGGCCAATGGATTTTGAATTTAGTTGATTTCTTTGGCGGAACTTATGTTATATTTGCCTTGGCAATTTTGGAAATTGTTGGTATTATTTGGATTTATGGTTAGTGTCAAATCTGTAGATTTTTTATAGTTTGTTTTAATATTTACATGTTTAAATTCCTCACAGGCCTACAAAACTTCTGTGACGATGTCGAATTCATGACCCATCGAAAAGTTTCAATCTATTGGCGTTTATGTTGGTCTTTCTTGACACCGGTTATGATGTTGATCATATTTATCTATTCCATGGTAACCATTGAGCCGCTGACCTATAAGAAAATAGAATATCCCACGTCTGCCAATGGTAACTATCAATGGCATACATACATACATAAATATGACATGGTCAATAATAAAACATGTTCTTTGCAGCTGCTGGTTGAGCAATATTTGTAATTGGTGTCATACAATTCCCCCTTTGGGGATGGTGGTATATCAAGACCCATTACAAGGATGCATTTTGTAATGTAAGTAATGGAGAATTTCTTGCAAAATTTTCAAAATAATTAATTAATTTTTAATTATTGTTTTTTTAGACTTTCAAAACATCATTGAAATGTTCCGACGCATGGGGACCCAAAAATCCTGAAGTACGTGCCAAATGGTGGGCCTATAAGGAAGCACTTGCCGAAGAGCGACGAAAGAAACAGACGAGCAGTAAATTGGGTTTCTTTAAACAAAAAGTCTATAATCTAACAAGTTCGCCCAATTGAACATTTTGAATGAACATTTTTGAATTTGTTATATTGAGTATTATTAACTAAGTATTAGTGTGTGTATATATTTAACTAGAAATAAGTTAAAAATATTTTTGAATTTATATAAATAAAATGTTAATTATTTTATCTGAAAGATTCTCGGAATATTAGACGGCATTTAGATTAGAATTTTTTATCAGGTTAACCTACATCATGAGTATTTATGGAATTTATGGAATTGACAATATAAACCCTCTGTGTTAACGAAATCCGGCACAATGTAAACGTACTATTATAAATACTATTTTTTAGAGCTATAGCATGATGCAATAATAAGGTGATGTATCAAAACAAAAACCTTTGTTTTTGTCTCGACCATCTGTCAATTTTTTTTTCCATACAATATTTCGCATGGTTGGCAACACTGCACATAGAATTCAAGTAGAAATTACCCACTTTGACAGTTAATCAAGATATCAGCTGCGCTAAATGGACTACCTATTCATTGTGCCATGAGCTATGGAGTGTATGTTGTTTAATGATCTCTTTCAAGGACAATCATATCAATAAACTTTTGAAGAATTTTTAATAATGTTTATATTTTGTAGGGGCTATCTTAAACGTCATGTACTTTCGAACTTATAACCGGGTTAACATTAGTCATATTTTGGCACATTAGTTATATTAGGATTTCAATAGACGCCATGAATTATGACATTCGGTCCTATGTTATGACCAGAGGGACTAGGGATAAGTAAATCGATTTTCTACTAATCGAATTTTTGTATTGAAAGGTCTTAAAGTCGAAATCGACTGTTGATCTTTGAGTAAATCGCAAAGTCGACTTTTCAAAATCAACTTTCGATTTTCTTCATAAATACTTGGTTTATTATCATGAAACCCAATTTGCTTTAAAATTACACATTTCAGACAACAATTCATATAAAAAATTAACTTTCTAGTTGATTTTTGATATTGTCGGAAAAGATGAAAATCGATTTTGAACAAATTTGACAAAATCGAAATATGGAAAAGTCGACTTTTAAGTCAAAGGCAAAATAGAAAAGTCTATAAAAGGACTATTTGGTCAGAGGCAAAAATCGAGTCTATAAGTCGAATTTTTCGCTGGACTACGCATCCCTAAGATGCTGGCCGAGCAACTATACAGCTCAACGTTTTGCATAGTGAAATAGGACATACCCAACTGGATAAGGGGAGCCGGACAGAGCTCACTGGACATTTCCATCGTGTCTCCAGGTCTGACGAACAACGTGGAATAGCAACCCGTCATTTCATTGTGGTCAGATCACCTCCATCATATCCATCAACATACCACCCGACTGCTAAACTGCCCAATCCTTCACATTCTCGGGTAGCAGAAAGCAATTTCCGGGTCGTACCCCCCAATTGAGACCTAACCCAGCAGTGGCAATGGAATTAGCAAATAAGCGTGATAAACTTCATCGTACTAAGCGTACTAACCCCAAAATCAGAGTACTGACCATGAAAGTGAACAGGTAAGTCGCACAAGCGGAAAAGTGATAAGAACGTCTTAAGTGTTGTAACATCAGTACCGGAGTGAGTAAATTGTGGGCAACGGTTAAGTCGCTCTCAAACCCAGGAAGGATGGATGAAATAAGATGAAGTGAAAGATCCGAAGTAGTGTGTGAGTTATTTTAACAGCCTTGAAAATTGGCAGATTGGCTCCGCTACTTAAGCCAGACAATGATGCCAGCAAATGTGAATCTAAAAGCCTGAACAACTATCTCGCGATTATATCAGATTTTTCCAGACTACGAATATGGAAATATTCGTCACTATATCAACGGCCACAATTCCCAAGGTTCTAAGTAGGGATACGTAGTCGAGCGCAAAAGTCGAATTTTAGACTTCTCGATTCGACGACTTTTGCGCTTTTCGATTCGACTCTGCGATTTTGTCAAACTTGTTCAAAATCGATTTTCGACTTTTACCAACTAAAGAAAATCGACTAAAAATTTAATTTTTTTTAAAAGAATTGTTGTGTAATTTTGGACAATTTCGGCTTTGTGATAATAAACCAAGAGAAGAAAATCGAAAGTCGATCTTGAAAAGTCGACTTTGCGGTTTTCTCAAAGGTCAAAAGTCAACTTCGACTTTTAGACTTTTCAATACAAAAAGTCGATTAATCGAAAGTCGACTTACTTATTCCTAGTTCTAAGGGTCATATTCGAATGCATTTGTAAGTCGTACTCGCATGCCACAGCTTTGCGATAAGATCATAAGCAAGAACAAGGTTCCCAAGTCACTAGAGTGCAGAACTGATTATGAAACCTTGTGGCAATAAACCGGTCACTGGTAGACTATGTGGATCCAGTATGGTCTTTCAAAGTTAGGGAAACGCAATGGAGAAACATTCAATCCTGCCGCTCTGAGGAGTGCAAAAGATTGTCAACACAACATCTGTTGGGGGGTTACAAAATCAGTCATCCATCTCATATGGATAGCCATTCACAACCACGATAAGACACGGTAATTACCTGTAGAGAGAGGCCCAGAGGTACAAAAGAGAGCATTTAGATAAACAGGTCTATCGTGCAGAATTTAATAATATTCACACTGATACATATTAGGAATATTAGGCACGAATTGATGGTACGGTTGACAATATTTGCTCGGCATTTGGTAATGATCCATATGACACGCTACAACTCAACAGTCCAGTGAAATCCACTATTTTAAATAAAAACCAGTAAGGAAAGTAGTATAGTCTGACGAGGTCGACTATATGATACCCTTCACCACTTTTGGTATATTTTACATAGTCTCCTAACACACGTCGCCTTTTCGAAAGAACGCTGAGATGAAATTGAAGGACATATATATATATATATATATATATATTTAATGTAAATGGTTCACCATTTACATTAAATCGGACGAACATATATATGAATCTAAACCGATTTTCACGAAACGTCATTATAAACTGAATTCAGTACGCTATGCTAAATTTCGTGCATATCGAAATATAATTGGGGACTTTGGCGCACCATATACCTTAAATCGGACGAAATTATATATGTGGAGCTATATCTAAATCTGAACCGATTTTCCCCAATCTCAATGGGGTTCGCCCCTGGGCCAAATAAATGAGCTTTGCCAAATTTCATCCAAATCGGATGATAAATGCGACCTGTACTTTGTTTACAATTTAACATCAACAGACGGACGCACATGCATAAATCGGCTCAGAAAGTGATTCTATGCATATTCTCAAAAGGAACCATGTGTCTATCTCGTTTCCTTTTGCCTGTTACAAACATATGCACAAAAACATAATACCCTGTATTTGTAAAACTGTTACGCAAAAAATTGGACATGAAAAAATTGAAAAAAACAACGACGCCTAAAATTCGTCTTAGAAATATTTGTAAAACTTCCCCGCATATCGAATATTAAAAAATATTTTTTGAAAAATCCATATCAAAAATTTACTTGAAAAACTTAATATAAATTCTCACCTAACGAAGTATTGAAAAAATATTTAAATAAAAAATCCGTGCCCACCAAGAACACGGAAATATAGTCACATTGATTGAAAAATTAATTTGGTGCCATTGATATACCTATTAGAGCTCCTGCACCTATATATACTCAAAGATAGGTAGATATTTAATTTTTTTGATACAGAGGTTCCTTTAAAAAATACCTTTATTTGTTACTTATAGGTGGTCTATCTATTAAAGAAACCCCTGAGTTGTACTGTTACCACCTGCTAGCGCCATAAATCATAAAGCACTGCGCACGCCATATTTTATAACCCTTAAGTGTACAAATATACAACCCGAACTTTATTCTATTGATCATACTTGATGGTGAGTGCGTTTAACATAAACGTGATCGCTTAATATAACTTTTTGATTATTATTAGCCATCTCCTTCAGTTTACTGCGCCCGCAAAAATAATTGTTATTTTTGTTTCAGCATTTTTCTTATCTGTCGACTCTGTCTGAACGGAGGTAATCGTCATAATCATAAATTAATTTTGTCCAAAATGTTTTTAAAACATTCCAAAAGAGAGATGTCTGCGATCGTTTAGCGGTAAATTGGCTAAGAAAGTGGGTAAATAATAAAAACAGTAAAGCAACGTTATGACGAAGGGTATTTAAATGAGTTTGAGTTTTTCATTGAGGGTATGGGTCCAAACTACCCATAATATCGAAATTTGGGAGGAACCTTTATGTGGGGACTACGTTGTAACTTGGGTCAATAATTATAATTTTTGGTACGGATATGTATTATTCAATGAGATCCCAGAATACCAAATAACAGCCAGTTGGGTTGGAAAATCTGTATAAAATCCACAAAATACCGATTATTGGGGGGTACCGTTATATGGTGGCTAAATTGAAAATTGGGTCAATATTAATAATACGGATATGTGTTTTTTAATTAGAAACCCGTAACCAAAGTTCCCAAATTTGGGGGTGCCGTAATATGGGAGCTACCCCGTACCAAAAATGATGATTTTTGGAAGAGAGATTTTTTACATAACGAGGACACAAAATATCAAATTACAGTCAATTCGGTTGAAAAATTCGCTCAATCTCCACAGATATCCAAAATTTCGGGGTACCGTTAAATAAGGGCTATCCCAAATCAAATCTTCCTACCAATTATCAACATTGAACTGATAATTGGTAGGAAGATTCTCAATCTAATGAGAACCAAAAATACAAAATATATGGCAATTGAAAAACGCGTCTAAAATACCGAATATTGAGATGTACCGTTTGTGGGGGCCCTATACAAAAACGTGGACCAATATATCCTATTTTCAATGCCAAACATCTTAGAAGTTGTAGCAATGTATGCGCAATCTCTATCTTAAATATTGCGAGCCTTATATTAAAAAGGGCATCGGTAGGTTCATAGCAACACCAGAAGAAAATTTTATTAAATCAAATTTTCCGGCATGTGGTACTTCTAAAAACTTCTAAAAATCCTTCCTTAACCCTCTAAGTACCCAAACATTATTATTTATACTTTAATTATTAAATACTAGCGAAGTGCCCGAATTTTCAACTGTAAACCTAATTCCAAATATCAGGATTCCAGCCCTATCTATTAAACGAAATCCAAATTGTATCAAATTTAGTGCAATTTAGTACTTTTCGTACTGATAAGTAAGAATTTCTAAAACTACATCAATCCTACAATCTAAAAGTAATCATAAGACCCCCAAAGTCCAAATTATACAAAATGTATTATTTTTCGTACTAATAAGTACGAATTTCCAAAACTACCCAATCCTGCTTTCCAATAATAATCGGAAGTCCAAATAGAAGAATTCCAGCTCTATCTGTTCAATTCAACATTCCGACAGAATATTACATGCAGCTTTTGGAATTCCCGTTCTACCGGTTCACCAAAGTCCAAAATGTACCAATTTTAGTATTTCTTGTATCTATAAGTACGAATTTCCAAAACTACCTCAGTCATACATTCCAATAATAATCTTAAGTCCAAATTTAAGGACTCTCCGTTCACCAGCATGCAAATTGTATCAAATTTAGTACTATACGATTTTCCAAAACTTGCTCAATTCCACACTCTAACAGTACTTTTAATCATAAATTTCAGGATCCCAGCCATTCACATACATCCAAATTGTACCATATTTAGAAACATTTAGTACTTTTCGAACTTATAAGTTCGAATTTCCAACACTACTGCACTACTCTAATAGTAATTTTTTTTCCATAATTTAAATAAAATAAAATAAATTTAGTAAAGTTTCGTACGAATTTCAGAATTTTGGCTCTTCTTACCCTTCTAGTTTGAATCTCGAAAAAAACAGTTTCTAGCTTCAGCTGTTTCGTCTGGACGATGAACAGTATTAAATATCGAATATATTCGGCAGATACTAAGGGTCTTAGTATTTGATCGCTTAGTTGCAGACTACCGATTTGTAAAAATGTCATCTGTAGATCCAAGTTTTCCGATCTACTTAATATACCTTCAACTAGACTACTATTATACACTATTTTCCTCTTGTGTATTTTAAAACAAGAACAACACTACGCGACGTGATCTGTCTTTAACACTAATTGTTGGCGGCGTCAACGCTGACGTTTACGATCACCGCCAGCAAGCAAGCGCTGCCAACAAAACTTTGTGATATCAGATTTGGATGCAAGTGAGTGAAAATGTGATTCCCTCTTCTGTAGTATTCATTGAGGAATCGTCCGTTGTCGACTGAAGAACCACCTTCACGGTCATCATTCACCATTCAAGATATAACAAAAATTACGGGTTGACACAAAGGGTTCGTTCTCGTCTGTAATCGGTTTGGCGTGTATGACGTGAACGTGAATAAGAAATTTTTTACAAGACAAAAAAAAATCACAAATCGAAAAAAGAAAGCAAATAATAAAAAAAACCAACGATGATGCGGAACCATTAAATAAAATTGAAAGTGATTGCATAGATATTGAAAATTCTATCTTTGGATTAAGTGTTTCTTTATATAAGTTTGAGATAAGAAAATAAAGGTTTAAAGGGTTCTTAGAACTCCCAATAAAAACTGTGATATATTTCCCTTACAATAATAAATAGCATAAAAAAACGCCTAACAACATGAATTCCATTGAGGAGGGCAGCAAACCAACTTCAATCAACAATGTCAACAACACGGCCGATACAAGTGATTCGAACTCCAATCATCAACCATCAGCAGCAGCAGCATCATCAGCCGCCAATAAAGAACGTGAAAATTGGGCCAGCGGTTTAGAATTTCTTATGTCCTGCATCTCAGTGTCTGTGGGCTTGGGCAATATCTGGCGTTTTCCATTTACCGCCTATGAGAATGGTGGCGGTGCATTCCTGATACCCTACATCGTGGTGTTGTTCTTAATTGGTATGTCGCTAAAATATTGATTGCAAATTGATTTGGTCAATTTGGTTAAATTGTATTTGAGTTTATTTGTTTTGTTCTGTTTTTTTTTTCATTATTTTTATTATTTGTTTTTGTTTGATTGTTTGCTTTTGGTTCCCTTTGGGTGTGCTATCCTTATTTAATAGACTGATGGGGTTAATTTGTGTTATTAGAAATTCAAAGTGTCATCATCAAATTTACTTTACTATGATGTTCGTATCATTGGTGTTTGATAAACAGCAGAGGGAAATTTACTTTTTTATGGCATAAATGGACTTTATGACCTACTTTTAAAATATTACAGTGAATTGGAATAAAAAATGTATTTGAAAATTTATCAACTGAATTCAATTAGGTGCCGATTAATGGAACCCTCCATTCACTATTTGAGACGATGATGTCGACAGATATATACACTGGTGGCCAAAACTAAAATAAATAAAATTTCAAAGTTAATAAATGCCGCATAACTTTTCAAAAATAGAGATGTCGTGGCGTTTTTTTTAATCGGGTACTCACTAAAAAAACTAAAGAATTAATCCAAGAATTCATTTTGAAATAAATAATAATTTATGGATAAGGGAATTGTCTCAATTTTTGCTTGGAGCAACTCTACAGTACAAACAGATGAGCTCTAAAATTTTAGTTATTTTTATTGTTATAAATACCATATTTTGGTTTCTTCACTTATTGTCATCCATTTATTTGATTTTTCTCATTTTCGAAAGCTTATTTTATTTTCTTCCCCGTAATATGATAAAACTTATGCGGCTTGATATCATAATTTCATCGTACAGTCCGAAGAAAAATACAGTTTGTCTTTTTATGCGTATTTTTCACATTTCAACCGCTGTAGCTCAGCCAATCCTCAACCGATTTACTAAATATATATATATATATATATATACTTTTTTTGAAAATTCTACTCTTCGAAAGAAAAAAAGAATAATATAAATCCGTTAGAAATAAAAGAAGTTATTCTCGTTTCAAATTGAAAATCTGTGAAACCACGTTTTTCTCTACATTTACCGCTTTTAAACCAGGTTGTTTTGTGTACTAAAAGTACTACATGCTACTATATTTGGTACAAATTTAATTCGGAGGTACAAATCGAGCTTGTGAAACAATAGAATAAAGAAATTTGGAGCAGGAAGTTTTAGAAATTTCTACTAATGTGTACTAAATTTGGTACAATTTAAATTGTGGGTGAAGCGATAGAGTTGGAATCATGAAACTTGGATTTAGGATCACTGTGGGAGTGTTGATTTGAGTAAAGTAGGAAGTTTTGGAAATTAGTACTACTGTGTACTAAATTTGGTACAATTTTAATTGTGGGTCAACCGATAGAGTTGAAATCCTGAATATTGGATTTAGTATCACTGTAGGGGTTTTTACATCGTTTTGGTATGAAGGAGGTTGTAAAAAATCGTACTACTGTGTACTAAATTTGGTGCAATTTGAATTGTGGGTGAACCGATAGAGTTTGTATACTGAAACATGGATTTAGGATCACTGTGGGAGTGTAGGTTTGGGTTAAGTAGAAAGTTTTAGAAATTCATACTACGGTATAGTAAATTTGGTAAAATTTGAATTGTGGGTTTTAGAAATTTCTACTAATGTGTACTAAATTTGGTACAATTTAAATTGTTGGTGAAGCGATAGAGTTGGAATCATGAAACTTGGATTTAGGATCACTGTGGAAGTGTTGGTTTGAGTAAAGTAGGAAGTTTTGGAAATTAGTGCTACTGTGTACTAAATTTGGTACAATTTCAATTGTGAGTCAACCGATAGGATTGAAATCCTGAAACTTGGATTTAGGATCACTGTAGGGGTTTCTACTTCGTTTTGGTATGAAGGAGGTTTTAAAAAATCGCACTACTGTGTACTAAATTTGGTACAATTTAAATTTTGGATGAAGCAATAGAGTTGGAATCCTGAAACTTAGATTTAGGATCACTGTGGGAGTGTAGGTTTGGGTTAAGTAGAAAGTTTTAGAAATTTAATTCGGAGGTACAAATCGAGAATAGAATCATGAAATTTGGAGCAGGAAGTTTTAGAAATTTGTACTAATGTGTACTAAATTTAGTACAATTTAAATTGTGGGTGAAGCGATAGAGTTAAAATCCTGAAACTTGGATTTAGGATCACTGTGGGGGTGTATGTTTGGGTTAAGTAGTAAGTTTTGTTTTGTAAGTTTTGGAAATTCGTACTACTGTGTACTAAATGTTACCAAATTTGGATTTGGGTGAACCGATAGAGCTGGAATTTTGAAATTTGAATCATTGAATCATCGATAAGTCTGGAATCCAGAAATTGGGGAAATAAGCTTTTCATTGTATTATATGAAGTATATAGTAGTGGAAAACAATGGAAATTAAATCGGTTATATGATTTCTGTTGGACGGTTGAGGTGGGTACTTATGGAATTTTCTATATATTAATGTGTGTCAAATGGACACTAAATGGTACTCAAATTTCATTTATGGTCGATATTAATCTGCAGATTGATTTGTTTTTCTGGCATGTGTAGTATTTTGTGAAAATAACATGTTAATACACGTTTAAATTATTCCCACATTCGCTAAGGAAGTAGCAGGCATATGTTATATGATGGCGGACCCGCCGCCAAATTTCGTGCAAATCGAAAGATATACTTTGGCGCACTATTTACATTAAATGGGAAGAAAATATATATGGGAGCTATATCTAAATCTAGACCGATATTAAGGAAACTTAACACACATTATTCTAGACCTAATTCATTACGCTAGGCTACATTTCGAATGTTATATAGGGACTTTCGTGCAAATCCCAAGGTTCGTCCTTGGGCCAAATAAGTGACCTATGACAAATTTCATCCAATTCGGATCATAAATGCGACCTGTAGGGGAGAGGGGGCACCCTTGAACGTGGGGCATCCTTTGAACAGCGCTCTTAAAATCTCGGTTTAGAATTTTTCCGACCCGCAACCAATTTTTTTTTATATGCCAATCTTGTTCTTTATCCGCGTAAACCATTTTGGCTAGCTTTTTCAGTTGTAGACAAAATTTACATGACTGCAATTGTAAACTTTTATTCTTTTGGTTGTAAGGGAGCAGGAAGAATTCAGTGATTGTTTTCTTTCGTTAAACAATTTTTTTCAGTTTTGAACACCTCCATTAAAACAGTAATAAAATATGTATATGAAGCTTAAATTATGTCATATATATATATATATATATATTCATTTTAAAGGTTACATATGTACCTATTAGTTAAAACTTATAAGAAACCAAAAAGTATAAAATAAAAAATTGTATGAGGCTTGAAATAAAAAAGTGTTCAAAGGTGTCCCCCTCTCCCCTACTTTGTTTACAATTTAACATGGACAGACAGGCGGACATGCATAAAGCTAGGGGATACTGGGGCACTTCCGGCATTGGGGCACATTTGGCAATCGCGCTTTCGATATGAAACTCTCATTGTACATCACTAGCTCTGATCCATAGGTATCCAATATCAAAATAATAAAAAATATTAAATTTCAGCATTGTCAATTAACTCTTTCCACATGATGTACATAAATGTTAATTTTATAGTACAATAATAATGTTATTGAATTTCACAATTTTAATATATTTGTATGGCCGTAGCCCTTGACATCTACCACACATTGTAGACGTTTTTCAATCGAGGATTGTTGTACCTCTCATCCAATATTGCAGTTTTCAATGCTTTTATATTTTTTGATTGCCTCTTAGCCACTTTTTTAAAAAGACCCACAAATGTTCTATAGGGTAAGGGTTTGTATAGAACCATAAGAATATATCCTTATATCCTCCCTATATATGGCTAATACATAGGAACATTATTCTGATAAAATTGAAATGTGGCTGTTGTGACAATCGCTCCTCTTTTATTGCAGCCATGCAATACTGCAAATAATTTGGCTAATTCGTGGCGGACAAATAATTTTTCAAAGAAAATATTTTGTTTGGTTCACCGTTTTCAGAAGCAAAAGAATACTTCGAGAGGTTAGCCTAAAAGTGTTTGGGACTTTTCAGTATTTGAATAACAATCTCCAGAGTTCCAAGATTTGGTATAGGCCCCCAATGTTCATTGCTTCCCTGGTATAGTTAGGATAGTTTTTGTGTAAACTTTATCTATTTGTCTACTTATTTTTTTATTTCCAATTATTTAGTGTTTTTCAATATGATTTTATTAAAAATTATTCAATTTATAAATAATATTTTCTTTAATTTTTAATGAAATTATTTCGACCTTCATTTAATTGTGCAAAAAAAAAGCACAACGAAAACAAACGTTTACGTTCGTAAATTGTTACTAGGCAGAGTTGTTTGTTGCCTTTTCCTCTTCGAGACGGAAATAAATGTCATCGTCAAATCCAAACGAAACGAAATGAAACAAATATTTAATAAAACCAATTAAAAACCAATTGAGCTGTTATTTTATTCATTCTTGATTGATGATCAACTTATCTGTAATGAACAAAGAAAGAAATTCTACTTAGACTTTTATATTTCTTTTTTAGGGCCTAGATATCGTACATATACAGATAAGATTTCTATCTAAGGTTCAGAGACTTTACCTAGGTAGTATAATGAATAAAATTTAGATTATTTGTGTCATAAAAAAACAGGTCCACGGTTTATCATTGCTGTAGGCATTGTTTGCTATTGACATTTAAATGCTAAGGGAAAATGTTTCAGTAATTAAATCTAGACAAGTCTAAGGCACCTTGTATATACAAATATATTTAGTTACAGATATTATTTTGAATACAACAACAAATCTGTCAATAATTGATATTAAGCGGACTAGAGAATTATTTCCACAAAATGTGGCATATAATTTAGCTAAACTTAAAAAGGGATTTTTGTGTTCCAAATGCAGGTACTTAATGGGTATTTTTTAACTTTATTTTGAATACAACAACAAATCTGTCCATAACAGATATTAAGTGGACTAGAGAAATATGTCCA